GGATTGGGTTTTTTGTTCCTTCTAAACTCTTATTTTCTTTCACTTCCATTGCATCTTGGTGGCATTATCACTTTGCTTGGAGTGGAACGATTATATATATATATATATATATATATCAAGGTAGCGGAATCAGCTGATCACCTAATTTTTATACCTAAAAGCTCTACATGTTAAATTTACTTTTTTTTTAAACATGTATTGAGCACTTTTTAATGCTATTGTTTCCTGGTCTAATTCAACTCTGATCATTTATTTTTTTTATTATATATATATATATATATATATATATATATATATATCCTAATGATCCAGGAACAAGCTACCTAGGTTTCACCTAAATGGATCTTCAGGGTAAGCTGGCTAAAGAGATATATATATATATATATATATATATATATATTATAAATTAATTGATTTAAAATGTTTTTTTTGTTTTGCTACACAGTTCTAACCATGTTTCAAAAATGGAAGCTAAAAGCCACGAATTTAATTTTGTGATTAAATTTAAGACATTAGTTCCATTTCATCCTCAAGCGAATTTTGGAGTAACTTTTTAAAATTACTGGGTTTTAAATACACATTGAGCACTATTTTGTAAAAATAAAAATATCTATAAGAACACCGGATTATATATCTTGCTGTTCTTTCTTTTTATATATATATATATATATAATAACACAGACATGGGGGCGATGGGTAAATTGTCGCTATTTTTATACTTTTAATTTGTGCTTGCGTGTTGTTTTTGATTTTGTCGACTGCACAATGTAGTAGGATCAGTCGGGCACCATCTGAGAGAAAAAGAACACCATGATGCAATTCACTCTGCCAGAAATGGCATGCTGTACTTCTTGCCATTTGTGTCGGAAGCTCCAATGCAAACATTTCACTGTATTTGGGTGTCAATCTGAGGACTGTGCAGAGGATTCGGAAAGAATTATATGATAATCCAGTCAACATCATGACGTTTGGAATGATCACTAGTGATGACGACGTTATGTCTCCATTCGTCTTCCCACAGGTCCTCAGACTGAACATGGAGGCCTACATCAAGTGCCTTGATGAGGTAGCGCTCTCCTGAATAAAGAGGGTGGCTTCTGGAAGACCCTATGTCTGGCAACAGGACTCTGTGCCATGACACACAAGCAGCAAAACCCAGTCATTACCCCCTTATATCTAGCTACTTAAGTCCACAGACTGCAACTTCCTTGATTATTATGTGTTGGGCGCAGTTGAGCAAGAGACCAACAAATCTCCTTGTAACACCAAAGCTGAACTGAAGGCAATGAGTATGGCAGCATTCAACAACTTAAACAAGGAGACCCTCTAGAAGAGTTGCAAGAGATTCTGAAGTCATCAGGAGGCTGTGGTTGAAGCCAATAGTGATTTTTATTAAATAAATTTACTCTATAGTATTTCAAGGTATTGTTGTTTAATTTTGGTGAATATATGTGTTAAAATGAGCTGACTGTGTTAATTTCATTTTGTGGTAATTTAGATGACAATTTATCTATCCCACCCTGTATATAGATAGTAGCTTGCCCAATAATCACTTAAAGTAGAGTTATTGAATGAGGTTGTGGTAAGGTTACAAAGAGAGGAAGTAAAAAGTGCATATTATGAGCGTGTCTGTGTGATATATGTCGGAAAATATATTATATAAATTTCTATGGCAGAATGATATTAGGTAAATGAATTAACAACAGGGAAAATGCGTAACGAGTTTTGTTTTACAAATACTTTACTTTAGTCCAAGAGGACAAAATGGATGAAATTCAATTTTTCCACTTTGTCATTCATTTACCTAATATACAGAGAATGTCAGAAATATCTCCTAGAAATACTTATCTAGCTAATAATGTCTTATGTTGGAGGTATTTCTGGTAAGACATTAGTGGCAATGGTGTCTTCATTTAGCTAATGTCTTATTGTAGGTGTTATTTTTTGCTGTGCAAGTGAAGTACAGCATGCCATTTCTGGCAAAGTGAATTGCATCATGGTGTTCTTTTTCTCACAAACAGTGCCCAACTGATTCTACTACACTGTGCAGTCGACAAAAACAACACACAAGGACAAAATTAAAAATATAGAAATAGCGACAATTTACCCATCGCACGCTCTGTGTGTGTGTGTGTGTGTGTGTGTTATATATGGAGTAAATCCTAAAGAGCTAAGAACAACCTACCTAGGTTTCACTTAAATGGATCTTCAGGGTAAGCTGGCTAAAGATATAGATAAGTGAACATTGAAGTCAATACTCAGTGGCGACAGGCTGTTTCGTGCTGGATGCAATCATCAGGCTGCCTGATGGTTGCATCCAGCATGAAGCAGCCTATCGTCACCGAGTCTTGCCTTCAATGCTCACATTTATATTTACATATGCTCTGTCTGATATTGAGCACTTTATCCCATAAATATAGGACACCTTAAAACTATATTTCTTGTATGTATGTATGTATGTATATATATATATATATATATATATATATATAAAACTATATTTCTTATATATATATATATAATAAAAAGTTAAGTGATCAGAAACTCCTGAAACAATCATTTTTGATTCAAATTGAGAAAATGGGTTGAATTGAAAACTTTTCAGCACCTCCTTTCTCTATATGCATGACTAAACCCAACTGTCCATACAAAATTTAATATTTTCTTCAAATTTATTAGATTACGTAAAAGATTAGATTTGTATGCTAGTTGCCACACCCAGTTTGTTTATACTACTCCTGCTGATTCTTATATCATTTTATAGATGAACCCGATCTAAATTTTAATTTTCCTCATTTAGAAACATAACAAAACTCTCTGTTACATTTAAAAGGCTTTCCTAAACAAATAGGTTCTGTCAAGTGAGATGCAACAATGAATAAAATAATATATTAGGAAGCTTTTCATTTTTTTTTTTTTTTTTTTTTTTTTTTTATTTGCTAAAGTTGACTCAATACAAGGCACAATAGCCATAAAAGCTAGAGGGCTGTGGAATGATTTATTATTTATTTGTTTGTTTAATTGCATATCAACTCTTTATGGGTCATTTAATGCTGAAATTTAATTTTCTTTGGGGCATTAGTAATTTCTTTTACAAAAACATATTGCTGGTAATTTTCTTACTATGATTTTTCTTACTATATTGCTGGTATTTTACTATAAAAATTGTTATACTTTCATAGTGTTTTGACTCCAGTTTTAGGATTAACTATTTGCCCAGCTGGAGCCTTAAAAGGTGCTACCACCCTGGTTCAGGGCAGACCTGGAAATGACAGCAATTAAGAGGTGATTCTATGTTCCTCAAAACCTCACAATCAGAGGCCTTGCTGCTGGATGTAGTTTATCATCATACCCAGGACAAGCCACAGAATGAGTTGTGTGAAATGTAAGAGAAAGCAGTAAGAAAAGATTATGAGGATATAGTGGATAGATAATGGTTGACCCTAGACTTGAAAAGGTTACAATTGTAGTAGTCAGATAAGCAACCAGGCAGGAGCCTGTTCTAAAAAAATAGTGGTTCTTCAGAATAAGCTTTCAGAGTGGAACGCCCTTCTTACTAAAGGTATATAGTCAGTATCTTCTTGCATTAAAATCATCATGCTCTCTCCTTATTCCTTTTTTGCTTTCTGGGGGTAATAGCAGAGATGGCTGTGAAGGTTCAGTCTACTCCTGAAAAGTCATGAGTAGGAATCACAGAAGAGTGTGGATGGTGGACATAACTGGGCCATTATTTATATTATTTGGACTGTTGTCCTCATCTTTGTTGCCATATTTATTACAATGTTTCGGCATTGTATGCTCCAGCCTTCTTCAGGTGGTTGGAATGTCAAACTGAACCCTTTATTTCACTCACTGGGGTTGACTGTTCTAGTTCCACATGCCATGTTTAATAGATGTCAGTTATCTCCTGTTAATTTCCCTCTGAAAGTTCTCCACTGCCTTGACTGGGTATTGAACTCGCACTCTTTGGGTCTTGTCACTGGATCTAACCAACGCTTTTATCCCTTGAGGACATGTGGCACAGTGGATAAAGGTGTTGGTTAGATCATGGCACGTGGAACTACCCCAGTGAGCGACATTTTTATAACTACTTTTAGAGATGTTAACAAAAAAGACAAGATCCACAACTGAGTCACACTCTGCCCAGAGACACACAACTGAGAGATAGTAATCCTCCCACAGCATGGGCCATAGAAAGCTTGGGTATTTACCTATGCCTCCCCACTGAGACAGGATGCAACATAAGGTCAGGTTTAGCTGGGGAACCTGAGTGCATTCGCTCAGGCCAAGTACAAAAATTGCTCAAACCTGCACAACTGTTGGTTGCACTGGGTTTGGTGGTGGCCATCAATCCTTGTCTCCAGTTCAAGTAGAGGATGTAACCTTGGGCAGCTGTTCCCCAGGGCTGGGCACCTCAAATTATTATTTTCCTCAGCTGCATCTCTTGTTCATCAACAGAGACACAAGTAAGTGGCACTCCACCCAGAGACGCAACTGAGAGATGATATGCATCCCACGGCAGAGCCGGGGAATGCTTGTGTGTGTGTGTGTGTGTTTTTTTTTTTTTTTTTTTTTTTCCAGTTGTTTTTAAAAAATATAGGAATGTCAACAGGATATGAAAAATAACACCTCTTTTCACCCTAGAAGTAGGTTAATCAGTAGGACGTATATCATTAAATCATTATTATCAACAAATAAAAATTCTTAAAATTTAAATATATTTTCTTAAAATCTAAATATATTTTTCTGCTCAAAACATGTCGTTTCAAAAGTGAGTAGACAGAAACTGTATATGTGTTTTCCCGCCATCTTAATATTTGTTTTTTCTCATTTGAATGTCTCTGTAAATGTTAAAATTAAAATGATAGACTTCATTGTCTTATCTCTGTACATTTTCTTGTTTCTTTAAAATTCCTCTCCCTTTATTGTCAAATGGTATATATGTCAAATCAGAAAATAAATGGCTTAAGCAAGTTTTAAAATTCTATTATCTTTTACAGGGCCGGAACTAATGATGCAAAGTTTCATGATTTGTGCGAGAGATTCTGGAAATGGCGTCTTCAAGATAGCCCAGAATTTGCTACATTCTGTGGCTTTCATGAATTTGATGACAAAATGGATGATTTAAGTATACCTTTTTATAGCTCTAAACTGGTAATTTTCTTTTTAATTCTTCTCTGTCATGCTGGAAAGAAAAATGCTGTGTTTGTCAAAAGAAGACAAAAATGCTATGTTCATGAAAGAAAGAAAAAAAAAATTATCAAAGATTTTCCTTTTAAAAATACAATATCACTTTCTTTGAGCAATGAAAAAAAACCCTGTCCTTTCACTCCATGATTAGCGTTCTTGATTATTTTAATTATCCATTTATCTTATATTTTTCTGTGTTTATTAAACTATAATTTTTATTATATTATTATGCATTTATAGACTTTAATTATTAAAATACTTATTTGTTTATTTTTTTTTTACATAAGTTGTGGTATGCATAGATTTTTTTTATTTTTAAAATAAATGTTATTTAACAAGTTTAAGAATTATTATATCAAGAACATTTGTATTTATTAAATTACTTGTACATTGGCACAAATAATTCTACTCATATATGTAATAGATCTGTTGGTATATAATCCCGGTGGATCCTAGTAATATGATATTACTAGGATCCACCTGGATTATATACCAATGGATCTATTACCTATTATTAAAACTGATCCACAGAGAGAGCCCAATGTATTTATTATAACAGAGCATATATTTTATATGGCAAAAAATCCAAAATTACCTCATGTAGGTATAGTTTATTTCAAACTAGCACAACCATTTGCCAGTCCGCCACAACCCTAGACATCTACATAACATCTACACCCTTGTGCAAATTAATTGAAACAAAACAAATAATTCCGTTATTATTTTTTCATATTTTTCCAATGAAACATGGCCCAGTGCACGTGTTAGTACTTCGTATGTCCATTCCACGAAGTCGTTTTTTGCAGATTGACCACAGATTCTTGATTAGCTTTAAATCGGGAAAGTTTTTGTGCCAGTCTAGTACTTTGATTTGCTCACTGGTAAAGCTTGCCAGTGTGTTCGTGCAACATTACAATTATTGTATACTTCCTTGGAGTAATGTCCATCACAGACAATGATCGTAAAACAATCGATAGTCGTGACAATAGTGTCTGGGTGTGATAAAATCTGATGCTATCATGGATGATGCAATATTTTTCAAGGCCAAACAAATTTCATCATACACCCTGAAAATATATTCATATTACTGCACACCATTGCAAATGACCTAATCTGAGGAAAAATAGAAATTGATTACACCCTCACACACTGATGTCTAAAACTGACTGTATGGTGACAGAAACAATACTAAAGTTTCAATTAATTTGCACAAGGGTGTATATTAACAGCAATATATTTGACTCTTGACAAAAACCTTCTTTATAAAATACTTGTTGATTTCTTCTCATCTAATTTGTGTTGATTTTCTTTTTGAAACATTATTGAGGATTCATTATCTTTTTTGTTATTGATAATGTTTTTAATTTTTTTGATTTATAAAATTGAACTTTTTATTTGTTAATCAATTTGAATTAAACTCTTCATAATTATGGGAAATGGTGATAGCAACTTGATACCAAAAATCTTAAAATGTTTAATCTTCTCTTTATCAATAAAAACATTCTACCAGTGAAATTTTATTTGAGAAAACCTCTAATGTGGAATGAATGAATGAAGGCAAAAATTGAGTCAATTTGGCAACAAAACTGGAGAAAGAGTGACCTTTGTAAATTTAAGTAAAGATAATGAATACTCAGGTATAAGTGAAAACACACACAGACGTGTGTGTGTGTGTGTGTATATATATATATATATATATATATATATATATATATATATATATATATATATATATATATGTGTATGTATACTTGACTCTCCTGTTGAATTCGACATATGAGGGTCAAGCAGATCAGTTTCCTAGGAAACCGACAGCCCGACAACGGCACATGAGATTTGATTATAGTGCTGAAGGTTTCGTGCAGGACCATCCACACTTTTTGAAGGGCCGAATACAGAGACCTGGTGCACTACGTGCCACAAGGTCTCCAAACAACCCTCCGCTGGTTTTGAATTCAGAATTTCCCTTCTCCGAGACCAGTTGCCATCCAAGGCTATAGAACCCAGTTTGTCCTATTTTACCCATAGCTGGAGGGAGAAGAGGATTCATTCCTTTCCCAAGGGTATTAGCATGTAAGTGAATGTAATGGATTCAACTGAAATTCGAACTTGGCTCTCCGATATATGTGTGTGTGTGTGTGTGTGTTTATTTTTATATATGTGCGTGCATGTGTGTTTTCGTGTGTGTGTTTGCATATATGGGTGCTACTTTTGACTTACCCTGTAGTGCTCACTTTCTGTCAGTTGATTGTTTGCCATTTGTATTATTGAATAGACGAATGATGAAGTCAATGAAAGATATGTTTATCTAACCATTTATTTAGGGGAATATTATCAAGAAATTTTACCAAGCTTTTTTGCTTGTAATAATCAAAACACCCGCTATCATGATCAAAAGCAGCCAGATAAACACAGCGTGTCACACACTCTTGTAGAGTTCAATGTAAATTTTCTCAAAGGTATGGAGGTTTCATTTTCTGAGTGGCTGTGTGGCTTTTCATCATAAACAAAATTTTTCATGATCCCTCAAAGAAAGATTGAAAACTAGAGGTCTAGGGAGTATGCCAACCCCTCAATTTGACTGTCCAATCCATTTTCTTGGAAAGTTTTTATCGAGCCTTTGTCAAAACAAGACAAAAAGAATTAACTAAAAAAAAATAATCAATGAGATAATTATAAACAACTTGACTTCCCAGAATCCTGGGGCTACTTTACATTTATTCCATCTATAAATGGCATATTTGAATAATGCTTTAATAATTGTTTCATGAATTTATTTTCAGGGAATAATGAAACAGTTTTTGAATGAAGCCAAGCAAATCGACTCGGCAACTTTAAGCAAAAGTGCTAAACTTGACCTCTTCATATTTATCGAAGATCTCGAATGTGTGATAAATGGCTTTGAATTTGAAAGGTACATTCAAATTGAATTTATTTAATTACTTCCATTACATGTTTTTTTTTTTTTTTTTTCTTCTTGTGTGTTTTGAATTTTGTTGGCACTGGTTTCCTCTCAAGATCAGTTTCAACTCCTATAACCTAATAGTGACATAGAGGCACCACATGTACTGTAGCTGTAACAGCAGGGGTGTGTCTTGGACATGATAGCCTGATGGAGCCGAACCCTCTCCAGACTGGTTTGAATTCAGATTTTTTCTTCTAGACTAGTTTCCAACCAAGGCTATAGAGCCCAGTCTGTTCTGCTATTTAATCCATACCTGGAGGGAGAAGAGTTGGATACATACTATTCCTAAGGTTATTTGCTCATAAGTGAATGTAAGAAATTTGACTAGAATTTGAACTCTGATTTCTCATTCATAGCTGCTATCCATTACACCACTCTCACATCCGGGTTTCCTCTACAACTGCCAAATAGTAAAGGATTAATTAGTATAGTGTTTTTGTAGATGTTATAACAATAAATTCAACAAGTTAATATTCTCACTTTATAGAATTGCAAATGGCTACTATCAGAACACAATGGCTGCTCGCTGTATGACTAAGAATGGTTACTCTCTCAAACATGATATAAAGTGACCTTTATACTCTGTATGTTGAGATAAGCCTATACTTCAAATTGATACTTAAATGTATCTATAAATTGCACCAACAAAAATATGCATATTTACACTATTGACATTGTTTAGACTGTTGTCCTCATCTTTATTCTCATAATGTTTAGTCTGTTGTACGCTCTGTCCGTCCTTCAGGTGATATAGATTAGAATTTTGAACTGAACCCTTTTAGTCCACTGGAATAGATTGTTCTAATTCTACATGCCATGCCTTTTCTGGATATCTCACTTTCAGTTATTTCCTTTTAGTGATGCTCGTCCTGGGTATGAGGTTAAACTGCATCCAATAGCAAGGCCTCTGATCTGGAGGTTTTGAGGAACGTGGAACTACCTCCTTAATTGCTGGTGTTCCCAGGTCCACCCTGACCCGGGGTGGTAGCACCTGTTAGGGTCCCAGCTATGGACAAATAGTGAACTCCCAGTTTTTCCAGACCTTACCCGCATCCTGGGTATGGCAATAAACCACATCTACCAGCAAAACCTCTGATAATGTTTTTGAAAAAATAATGTTGCCAGCTATACGTTTTTTTTGAAAAAAATAATGTTGCCAACTATATGTTTAATATATATATATATTTATATATATATATATATATATATATATATATATATATAACTAAATTTGGCATTAAATGACCTACAGTGGTTGCTATGCTACAAAACCAAACCAACCTTTAGTGACGCATCCTTCCAAGTTTTTGTTTGCTGGGTATTGAATACACAACTCTTTTTGGGTTAAGTAGCTGGATTACTTCAAGCAATGCTTTTATCTACTTGGCCATGTGTCTTGTATCAGTGAATGAATTTTTGGGACTTATAAACCTCATGTCTCAGTAACATACTTTTACCAGAGATCATAATAATTTTTTTTTTTTTTTTTTTTTTGTTATTGTTGTTTTTCTCTTATACCTGGCCACAACAGTGGTGAACAAAAATCTGGAGAGTTAAGTTAAGAAAGGGAATTAACTGAAACTGAGATATCCAGAAAAGGCATGGAACTAGAACAATCAACTCTGTGGACTAAATAAAGGGTTTGGTTTGAAATTCCAACATATATCACCTGAAGAAGGTTGGAGCCTACACTAGCCGAAATGTCATGAATATGACAATAAAGACGAGGGTAATAACCAAACAATGTAAATAGTGTAAATAGTTACAATGTCTTATCTCAGAAATATAGACAAAATGTGCATATTCATTATTATTTACTAGTAACTTATATTGCAAACATCATTTTGTAATAAAGTTAAGCAACAGAAAAGTAAGCGCCTTTGTTTCCTTCGGTATCTTGCAAATACTTGACAAGAAATGTTTTATGTCTACTGATAAGAAATTTGCAAGCTCAGAGCCATTTGAACTTTACAACACATGGTTAATCAGTGTGATTTCTCACTTTCAACATGGCTGCTCATTTCCCAGCATGCCCAGCTACTCAGACCCTTTTGTATTTGTTAAACAATATCACATTCAAACACTGGTTCTCATACAATCACCATTGAAGTTGAGCAACATCAAGCCTGGTCAATACTTAGATGGGTGACTACTTGGGAATACCAGGTGTTGTAAGCTTGGATGAGCAGGTGTTGTAATTGATAACGGCTTGAAACTGGAAAGTTGAGTTCCAATTCCAATTGGGTTTGTTGTAATCACTTAAGTGCAAATACCCTTAGGAAAGGCATGAATCCAATTGTTCTTTTCCTTACGGCATGGGTTAATTAGTAAGACTTGTATCAGTAAATCATTATTATCTCAAAAAATTCTTACAATCTAAAAATATTTCCTGGTTTTAAGTAACTTGCAAAAGGTTGATAAGCCATAAAATAAAACAAATCAATTAAACCAATCTTTGGTTTATACTGCAACTATGCTGAACATCCATTAGTTAAGAGTTCAAGTATGTGTCCTACAAGGACCACATACAGTTTTGAATTCAGAGTTATCCTTCTACTATATTGGTTGCCAATCATGGCTAGAGAATCCAGTTTGTCCAGTTATTTAACTAGGGGAATGTTTGTTAAATCCAGTGACTAGACCTCAAGAGTCGTGAGTTCAATACCAGGCCACAGCAGTGGTGAACGAAAAAACTTTGAGAGTTGAGTTAAAGGAGAATAACTGAGACATCTGGAAGAGGCATGGCACGTGGAACTAGAACAATCTGGTGGATGAAATAAAGGGTTCAGTTCAAAATTCCAGTCACCTGAAGAAGGTCAGTGTGTACAACAGCTGAAACTTTGTGAATATGGCAGTGAAGATGAAGATAACAGTGTGAATAATGTTAATAATCCAAGTAACCATAATACCTCATCTCAGAGATATAGAGGCCGAAACGTTGCAAATATGGTAATGAACATGAGGATAACTGTCTGAATAATGTAAATAATGCAAGTAATCATAATACCTCATCTAAAATGTATAGACAGATAGGGGGAAAAGATCTGGATGCATACATTTCACAAGAGTATATGTGCGAAAATGAATGTACGATCTTTGAATTCAAATTTGAATCTAACTTAGTATCTATACTGATGCCACAACTGTTACCACATATCTTAAAGTTTGATTGGTTTGATAAGATCAAGTTGGTTGATGATCTAAAAAATAACATATAATTTGTTGTTAACTGGTGCAAGGAATGGCTTGATAATTTTAATGCTCCTAAAACAAAACTGCTCTTTATCAATCATCTTCAAGAACGCTTTCTGCCTTCCATCAGCATGGCTGATGCTAACCTCCAGGAGAGTGACTCACTATGCCTTCTCTTACACATTTATAAGTCTACCATTTGTCTGTGCATTGAATATTGTTGTCACATTGTGTGGTGCTTCTGCTATGGAGAGGTTCTTGATAAAATCCAAAGAAGAATCTGCAGTGTTATCAGTTATGACCTGGCATCTCTGCTTTAGTCACTTTCCCACTGACGTAACATAGCTTCGCTGAGCTATTTTTATAAATGTTTTCAGGGTGAGTGTTCTAATGAGTTTTACTCTTTGGTATCTTGACTTTAAAAATTTAAGTACTCTATTAATAAGTGTTATGGATAATGGCTCGGAGTGAGACATCAAAGAGCTGAGTTCAAATTCAGTCTGGTTCCTTATATACATACAAATACCCCTGGGAGAGGTATGAATCCATCTCACCTCTGCTGCATTAGCTATTGGTTGAAAAGCATGGCAGACTGGGTCCTTTTGACTTGGTCAGCAACCAGTCTACCACAGAAACATCCTAGGTATGACGATAAACTACATCTAACAGCAAGGCCTCTGATCAGGAGGTTTTGAGGAGCGTGGCACTACCTCTTAATCGCTGTTGTATCCAGGTCCACCCTGACCCGGGGTGATCGCAACTGTTAAGGTCCCAGCTATGGCCAAATATTTCACCCCCAAACTGGGGTGAAAGCACTATGAAAGTTTAAAAATACGTTTTAATACAAGCAATACATTTTGGTAAAAAAAAATTTTTACCAGCTATACATTTTTGGCAAAAAATATTACCAGCAATACTTTTTTTGAAAAATATTACTAGCAATAAAAATTGTTGGCATTAAATAACCCACTGAGGTTGATATGCCGTAAAACAAAATAAATGAAACCAAACGTACCACAAAGAAACAGCAGCTTACTGCAGAAAATGTTCTACCTAGTTAGTTATGAATCAAAAGAGACATGATGTTCTAAATATGTATCATGTGTGGTACTTGACTGGCTCTATTGGCAGTTAGGTCTCATCATTTTACAATTGAAATTTCTCTGTGTAACCCAAACCCTTCTATGTTAACAGTTTCTTTTCTCGCACTTTTCAATTGTGGAACACTCTTCCAACTTTCTAGTCAACTTTGATTTTCAGAAATTTAAATGCAGCCTCAGTCATTACCTTCTGTCTTCTTAATTCCTGTTCTTTCATTGTTCTCTCTCCTTAATAATATTTTTCTTTTTCTCATATTCCTTCACACTCATTGACCTTTAACCAGTCTGAGTTCCTTTATTGCCTTGCATGAGGTGAAATGATTAAAAACAACTCAGCTTGTCAATTTTCTCATTCTGAGCTTCTAACCATTGCATCACCTGCATGTCTTTTATTATTTATTGACTGCCCATAAAATTCTAGTCATCTCGTAATTATTGATTACATGTATCTTGGTGATTTTTTTTTTTTTTTTTTTTTTTTTATCTGATTGTTGTTTTAACTATATGTTATAAGTACTTCAATGACTTTTATGCCTCGCTGATAAGGAAGTTTTTTTTAATTTTTCTTGAGTATTTTATTTTTATAAAACCTGAAGGTCACTTTAGACCACTTGCAGGGTTTACTATATTGCTAAAATCATATATAATGATTCAATTCATTCCTTTCATTCTCTGTTCTCTGCACACTGTCTTTTCTCTTCTGTTCTGCATTCAGTATTATTATAATAATAATAATAATAATAGTTGGTGGAGTTATGCAGTAGGAACTGCCACCACGACCACTACCAAAAAAATGAATCTTTTTTTTCCAAATTTTTTTTATTACAATAGACTAACATTTGTGTATATTTCTAAGATCAGGTATTGTAACTATTTAGACTATTAACATTGTTTGGACTGCTGTCCTCATTTTTATTACCACATTAACATTTTTACTACCACACTAGCAGCATGGCCCAGTGTTGGGCGTGCTTGATTCAGAAATCATATGACTCGTACAGCAATCACTATCACTTGACTTAAAATATTTTTTGCCCTTCCTTGCTTTTAAAGGAGTGCCCTTTGCCATGCTGATGTTGCTACATGCCTTATTTCTTGCCTATCTCACACTGGGAATTTTTTCTAAGCTCTATACTAAACATTAAATCTGTTACGAAAAAAGAACTAAACAAAGTGAACACAAAAAGATCTGCTTTAAAAAAGGACTCATAACTGGAAAAACCGAATGAAAATAGAATGTTAACAACAAATACTTTTTCACACCCAACCCAATTCTGTGGAATCAGAATCAACGTTGAGTTTAAGCAAGCAAATGAGCCAATTGGAGTAAAGTGCCATGCAGATTTAAATTTTTCCCACTTGTGACAAATGCAGCTATCGATTTTTTTTTTTTTTTTTTTTTTTTTTTTTTTTTTTTTTGCATGCTAGTTAACATTCATGTCGGTCAACTGTTGGCTTTCATGCTGGCCAATAGAATCTTCCTGTCTTTCGTGGCAGTCAGCTATTGGCTCTCACTCTGACCAGTACAAAACTACATGAAGACTGCCATAGAAGCATGAAAATCGATGGGAATTGGGAAATGCAAAATTGGTCTTGGCCTTCCCGCTAACTTGGAGCATGTGCATGTAAATTTTGGTGCAAATCCGTCGAAAATTGCAGCCGTGCATTTGTTACACACATCCTGCCTTTTATAGATAGATTCATGACATTTTGGCCATTGTGCACTCTGGCCTTCTTCAGGTGATATACATTGGAATTTTGAACTGAACACTTTATTTTGGTCCACAGGGATAGATTGTTGTAATTCCACATAATATACCATTTTTGGATATCTCTGTTTCAGTTATCAGTTAATCGTTAAAGACACGTGGCCCAGTGGATAAAGGCATTGGTTGAGTGATCCAAAAAAGTGACTTAACCTAAAAAGTTGGAGAGTTGAGTTACTAAAGGGAGATAACTGAAAAAGAAATTTATTTAACTGCAGCTAATACTCCTGTTGATTTGTACAAAGGATTATGGTACTTTAAAAAAAAATGAATTGCAGCAAAATAATTCTCTAGTTTTCTAAAAAAATGTTTTAAATTGAGAGAATTTAACATTTGAAAGTTTGGCTAGTTTAAATGATAAATCTTTGTTATAAATTCATGCAAACAGATTTTAATTATTGGGTTTATTTTTGGAGCTGAAAGTGGTAGATATTCAAAAATAAACCAAAACATTCTCTAAAAGAAACAAAAAAAAAAAAGTTATTATTAGCCTTTATTGCATAAGTTCCCTTCAAGACCATGTAGGAAATATATGCAAGTAAACTGATGTCATCGCTATGGGTTCACCTATCATCCCACACTTTCAGAATTTTACATGTTAATCCTAGAAAACAAAATTTAAATAAAACCCTAAACTAATAATCTACATCCACTACATTGACAACATATTTATATTAACTAACAACCTTTGAAAATAATTCTGTCTCTAACTTCACATATGAACTAAACATAACAGAATTCCCTTTTTTCCTCTTAATTGATTTGAATAAATTAAACTTTAAAAATGTCCGTCTATAAAAAAAAGCAGCAACCACCTCCTGCCTACTCTTTTTAAGCATTTTACCCCAAGCAAGGTGGGAAGCCACTAGGATGCAAGGGGTTACAGAAAATTCGGAGCAAGATCAGATAGGAGTGATAGAAGGATGAGGAGAATAGTGGATAGAACAAGGCAACTGGAGATACAGAGGCCAGTGAGAGAGAGAGAGAGTGTACTGGAAACCCCTTCCTAAACAACAAACAAGTCGTAAGCCCCTACTCATGTCCAAGAGAAGGTGGGGGAGTGTTGTCCGGGCGGTAGGAAAGCCTACCTACTCCTATTCCTACTTAACTACAACAGTGAATACCTACAGAGTATAAAGATTTTCTAGTTGCAGTTAATTTCCACAAAGACAGACACACTTGAAAAGAGAAGTAACTCCAAGACTGCATTAAATTTGATGGGTTTAATGTATAGAAAAGGGTTAATGCACAATAGGTAAAAAGAAGGCTTGCAAATTTATATTTGCGGACTTAGAAGAGTCTCCAAGGAACAAGTAGACTTTGTGGCTTCTGTATTCCATTAACATTTAAAGGGACAGCTCCAATAAATGTGTTCATTATGGCTGTCAGTTGTAAAAGAGGAAGATTTCAAGATTGAGTTTATCCAAGAAGGGATCTTGATTGGACAGCAGTTAACTAATCAGTCCCGGATTAGTAAGGGTTTCAAGTTCAAGGTTGATCTTTTGAATGGTAAAGGGTTAGCTCCTTTTACTATATCTTTCAAATTCTTATAAGAGATACAAAGTAGCCATCATAATTAATAATTCAATGAATAAAACACATTTAATTAATATCTTCTACACACACACACAATATTTCTTAAAGAACTCAAAAGCATAAAACAAACATTAATAATAATCCTAACCACATTATTAATAAACAAACTAAAATTAGAAAAATACTAAAATCAGATAATAACGCCAATAATGTCAAAAAACATTTTTTTTTTTTTTTTTTTTGTTTTGTTTAATCAGTATCATCCCAAGTAAGGCAGTACAGCCACTAAAATGCAAGAGGTTACAGGATGTGGAAGAATTAGGAACAGAAACAAATTTTTCTTTCTTCACAAACACTACAATCTAAAATAAACTCCTCACATCTCAATACAATCTCTCAGTTGATGTGCTACTGAATTGCCAGAGAGATCACCTGAATTAACAACTTTGGATTTCTTTCTGGGAGAAGAAGGACATGATGAATGATACAAAAAGAGACCCCATCCAAGAATGGAAAACCAGAATAAAAGAAAAATTTGCCACTATTGACTTTGAACTTTGTTAGAATGTGTGCAGATATATGTAGCTTGCAGACTGAATAAATGCATCAAAATAGGCAATGATCTTTTTTTTTTATTTATTTATTTATTTATTTTTTTTTAATTGGTATCACTCCATGTAAGGCAATAAAGCCACTGAGACACAAGGGATTACAGGATGTGGAATAATTAAGAACAGAAACATTAATAATGAATGGGAAGAGGAAAGAGTAATCAGGAGGACAGTAGATAGCAATTGACATTGCATTTAAATTTTTGCAGATTAAAGTTGGCTGGACATCATGGAGCTGGAAGGGGGGTTCCACAAGTGATAAGTGCAAGAAAAGAGACTATTAGTATAGAACTTATGGCTAAATCTAGCCAACACAAATGTAAATTGATGAGATTGTAATGCCAGTCTAGTACTGCACTTAAATTCATAAAGTCTAGCTACCATAGCAAAGTGCCAAATAATTAACATGAAAGTATTTATAAAAAAAAAGCAGAGAGGCAACCTTATGGTTGGAGGCTATTAAATTATTTTAGATGAGACAAGTACACAGTAACTACAAAGTAGATGAAAAAAATTTATATGAAATATAATACACAGATACATACGATCTTATAATAAAAACAAATAAATTTGTCACTTATTGCAAAAAACTAAAACCTCTAACATGACCACCAGTGATACAACAAAAAATTAAAGAATCCAACAAATTAATGTTGTATATGGATTCATTTGCCCATTTTATCTAGTTTAGCTCCAATAATATTATATGTAGTTAGAATAGTCTTCGATGATGTCTTAAGAGTTGGCTGAAGATGTCATGTTCATGAAAAAAAATAAATAAATAACAATTAGTTATAGTGTCAAAAAATAATTATAGCAGTTATAATTATCATTAATTCACTCATTCTAAACCAATGAAAATCCTCCCCACTTTTCTCCTCTACACACACAAACACGTGACATTCTCACTATCAGACAAGCAGTTCACACATTCAGGTCATCAAAATGTGCATCAACAAAACTTTCATCTCCTTTTTCTTTTTCAGGCCATAATAGTAACATTTATTTTTTTAGCAATCAACAAAAAATTGAGGTAAGAAAATTCCAGACGCATCTTGTATTTTCCAACTCAATTATCTGGACACTCGTTAGACACATTTATAAAAAAAACAAAAAAAACATACAAGAAAAACTGTATAC